AAAAGGAAAAAAATTAATAAATTAAATTCCATGTTTCTTTGATGTTCTTAACTCTAAGGGATCTAGTTCAAATATTTCAATAAATGACACATTACCATACACAAACATGGAACAAAGTAGGAAGAGTAGCTCCAACTCTAAGTTTACATTACAACACCTTGAAGAGTTTCTTTTCCCCCTCTCTTCCAATTCTCTAGTCTCTAGATTAATGATGGAGTCTCAATCCTACAACGGTTCTGCCTCAAACAAGCTCCAGCCAGAATCATTTCTAAAATCCCAAGCTTCCTTCCATGGAGCCAGAAGAATGAGGCCTTGAAAAGGAACTACTAACTGCTCTGCCTCTTTATTTTAATACCACAGGACGAACACAAAACACAGCAGTTCGTTGTGAACATTATTCACACTATGAATACATACATTGGTAAAATATACACAAACTAAGCTGGTCTAAGGGCAAAAAAAAAGACCTTGCTTTCATCAAGAGCTGGAGTTCATAGATAAAAAGAACGGTCCTCCTCCGATTCTCTTTGTTCTTGATATCTTTCTTACTAGTATTTTCCACTTTATCTCATCCTTCTTACTCTGTCTCCTAATCTTCTCCCCTAAATTCCTGTAATCAAAGCCTCTAATTACAACTTCTGGGTGCAAAAATATAAGGGAGAAGATTCATAAGAAGGAAAATGTGGATTACCTGCACAAAGGAACCCTGCAATTATCAGAATCAGCACAGAGACGGGAGTGCAATTCCAGAAGCTGCCACATTCTCTTGCAATGGATGCAGCCCCCGGAGACTCTCATATTGCAACGTGCAAAATGTCGAACAAGAGATTCTATTCCCTTGCAAGCTGCGTACATGCAAGGTGCCTGGTTGTCTTTGAAGTCTTTGTCGTGCGGTCCAATTGTCCTGCATCCATCTCTACAGATATGAACAAGAGCCTCCATTGCCTCATATAGTTGTAAGTAAACCTTCCGCTCATTCATTTTTCTTATCCTCACTTTTTTCCACTGAGAATCACAATTAACCATGACTTCAGAATTCAGGTAATATGAAGCACAAAGGAAGAAGAATTCAGGTAAAAAGAAGAACAAAGGAGGAAATAGAATACATTTTGTTCGTCAACGATGGAATTTAGAAGCTTTTTCTCAAGTGCCGGATGACTATGCTTCATCACTTTCCATCCATCAGTTGCAATTACAGCTTTGAAGTTTCGAAGGATCATACGATGACAGATTAAGCTAAGCCGAGGAGCATTGCAGAGTAATGCAAGCTGAAAAACATCAACTACATTTTCTATGGTAAGCAAACCCTGCTCTAGTTGCTGCTCGCAAAGTCTCTTCAATTGGGGAACAACATATGAATGCGATAACACCAATAAATGCAAGACAAATTCCCTCAATTCTTCCTTCTCGTAACTACACATGGAACACCGATTATATTTTAACATCGGGGTATGGAGAAACTTTATGCAAAAATATAACCTGGAATATTCAACAGTGAAAGCTAAAGGATTACCAGGAAGAGTACAAAAATCGGATGAAAACACGAACTGCATCCCGTGGAACACCGCGGATTGAGAATGATTTTCTCCGACCAAGGCCTTTGGATTGCTTTAACAAACCATTTAGTACAGGAGAAGCCATGCCCTGTTGCCAAACAGTGTACACCCAATGATGGTTGGTTAATGTCATCATCTAATTTCATTGTTTTGATATAACCTTCAAACAAAACATCAATAGATCAACAAAAAACTAAGCTTCCAACAGGCATGAAATAAGGAGGCTTACAAGAACATTGGCATGAGCAAAGATAACGCCACCATCATCCGTCTTAACAACAACGTTTGCTCTGTAGCCAGTATCAAAGAGCTCATCCCACAAGTTCCTTGTTGCCTTAGAGACGCAGCAGTGTCCTCTTAGTGGCAATCCATTCATCATTAATCCCCGCCGGTAATAGCTTGTCGTCGCCGGACCAGGCAACGGAGGTGGTATCGGAGGGGAAACCAGAGGAGATTGATCAACAACAGCGTCCAATTTCTCCATTACCTTCTTAAATAATCTAAAAATGCAAAAGAACCGGAAATCATAGAAACGACATTGTTGCGATCTAATTCAAATCATCTCATACAATGCAAAATCAATTTTCCAGACTTTGAAATAAAAAATCTGATAAAAGAAATGCGAGAATCAGGCGAATCTGTATTGAATCATGAATTCATGATCACATTCTGAAATAGAAATTGAATCGGAGAGAGAGAGAGAGAGAGTGTATTGAATCATGAATTCATGATCACATTCTGAAATAGAAATTGAATCGGAGAGAGAGAGAGAGAGAGATCGATTGCGAACCTTTTCCTTGACTTTAAACAGGAAGAGGCTCAGTTCTTTGCTTCCAGCTTCAAGAAGTCCCCGATAACCTCCCCAATTCCGGTACCGGCGACTCAGAGAGAGGGGAGGGGAGGGGTAAGGGGGAGAACGACTCAGGCAAATCACGCAATCACGCCAGGCAGGTAGTTCCGTTTCTATCAAACTTAAATGTCTTATCCGTCGGTCTTTGTACGGACGAGCGGCAAAGAAACCGTGGGATATGAAACCAAGACAATAAACGCAAGTGAAATCCGATTCACTTCTACGTCAGATTACAACTGGCGTGCGTGGCGAGTTTATCTGTTCCACGCGCTTTCCCGCGCGTCTCGGCATCTGGCTCTTGGCCCGTGACCAGACAAATTCTCAGCCACGACCGTCAGTCCGTCACTATCCGGTTTCTTTATTTGGGGCCGTGGCTTGGGTCTTTGTCCAGCTATTTCTTATCTGGCACCATGGCGGCCGCAATATAGCAGTGAATTTTTTTATTTTTATTTTTTCATTAGTTTGATTGTCATGGCCGCCATTATAAATTTTTTTCTTTTTGAACAAATTGTGGATAAGCGGGCTCGAAGCGCACTGTTAAAGAAGGAAAATGCACAAATTGGTAGGGTATCAGTTGGCTTAAAGGTCAAATATTTATAAATTATTTTTTTGAATAATTGATATGTTATGATGAAGATATTAGGGTGTTTATTTTCAAATTCACAAGTACAGCTACTAACTTTTAATTTCAATTAAATGTATGAATGAGATATTTATTAATAATTAACTATTAGTTATTAGATATGTTTAAACATTTAATCTAAACACTTCATTATAAGATATGATTAATGTGGTTATGAGAGTATATGGTAGATTTGATATTATTGTTCTTCAAGTTTGCTCTACTTTTTTTACTGCGTATAGGTTGCTGATATGTTCTATGTGTTGTCTTCAAGAAAGATCATGGATGCATGTTGGAGGTTTGGTTTATTTTCTAGAAATTTCAAATTCTAGTTGGTAAAACCATCTCTAGTATAAGAGGATGATAGAGATATTATAAAATATGATTTATGTAATTATGGAATTAGATTGTTTTATTTGATATTATTGTATTAATATAATAGATTTAAGATTTCTTATTTAGTTGGACACTTAATATGTATTAACAATATAAATAATTCAATGATAATTTTTTTATATTAAAAATAAGAATTTTGAGTTTAAATCGTATGATATGCAAGTAAAATAAATTTAGTTGAGTTGAGAAATAAGAGAATATTACTTCTCATTATTCAATCCAAAATCAAATAACAATAATAATAATAATAATAATTCAATATATCTTTCTTTTAATTTTCCTGTATCTTTTTTCCATAGTTTAATTTCTTTTATATGTTGTACTATTGGAGATTACCTTATATTTTGTAGATTTTTCATCACTAATTTAAGATTTAAATTTCAGACTTTTAATATAATAATTCCCTAAGATGGACAATATATCTTTTAATGCAATTGAACTAATGCAAAGAGGAAGGGATGTAACTCTTGATGTATGTGAGTTAAGCTATCTCTTGTACTCGTTAATAATGTTTACAATTGTTGTTGACATAAAAAATATAAAATATAAATGAACAAAAACATTGATTAATGCATATTTTAATTTAACATATTATATAACATATTTATTAAAAATTATTAATTTTTATTTAAAATTAAAAACAGATTAATTTAAAGATATAATCATATACATAATATGTAAAAATCAATTATATTTATATCATATTTTTAATAATTAAATTAGATAAATGTGAAAAAATATATCAAATAAAATGTATATCAATCATTTACCATTAAACAAATGATAGTCTCTCCATTCTCAAACTTATTCTCATGAGTCTGAAGATTCAAGCCTCATATCTCAAAATAAAATTTGAAATTTATACCAGTTAAAAGATGACAGGAAATGTTATCCACTTGATATTCATTTACTTGAATAGTGTAAGACATGTTTTTTTTGTAAGTAAAATAAATACAGTCTCAGTTGAGTTGACACCTTTGAATGGAATTTTGCGAAATACCTAACACTATGGCAATGTCAGGTGGAAAGAAAGGGATTTGTGTGTTAGGTTGGCTTCAACATGGAGACGAAAGTTGGTTGGGAGTCTTGAGACAGCAAGGGGTGGCCGGTGGGCATGGAAGCCATATAAAGTGGATGGACCGATACCGAATTGTATAAGATATCTTTTGCAGTCGGCACTACTTTGGACACATGAGGTCCAAGACTGGCCAGTAATGGAAAATTTATGCCGGTTGGTTCATCATGGAAAAATGGGAAAATTCAATCACATATTAGAGGAATGATTTGATTTCAGATATTTCGTTGATTTTTTTTTTATATCAAAAATTAATTGTTTGGTGTTGGAGAGATTTAAATATTTTTATCTTCATTACAAATTAAAATTTTAAAATTAATAGATATCAATTTAACTAAATTCTTATAAGTTAATAATATGACGATTTTTTTATATATTAATCTCTTGATATTTGATAATCATATTGGATTTTAACTAATTTAGAATTGAGGCGTGTCATATTTCATAAGGGAAAAATTTTCTTAGCGCTTGTTTTTTCATTTGTAAGACTTGAATTCAAGATCTTATTTAAAAGAAATGGAATTTTTTCTATTTAGATCAATATGTCATTGATGGTAAATAATATAATGATTGATAAATAATATGATGATTGATAAGTTGTTAATTGACACTTGGGGAAAAAAGAAGTTAATTAGTCCATAATTTTTTATGGATCAATTTACAAATTTAATGAAAATAATAATTATAACGTTATATAATATTATAAATGTACAATTATAATACATTATTATATAATTAATTTTTTATTTAAAAATTTATTTATGATATTTTATACATCTATCAATTTTTTATATATAAATTTTTTTTTTTTTTTTATCTTTAAAGAGAGGGTGATGAATGCACTCAATCAAGAGAAGTTTACCTTTATAAATGGGCCTTTGAAGTTTACGAGCTCTCAGTTTGTGGTTTGAAGGAGAGTTGGGCTCTAGGTAATAATGGGCCTAATGGGCGGTAGTCTCTGGTGACTTTGTGACACAACTAGACCTGGTGTTGTTTAGTTATTAGTGGGTCTCTGGTGATCAAATTTCATCATCACCTCACCTAGAAGTAAAATAAAAGAAATATAGACGATGGAGCCGCCCAGATTCGGACTGTAGACCTTCATTGTGTTAGACTGAGGTGATACCCAACTATGGATAAAAGTTTAATTTTTTTTTAATAGAAATTCATGTTTTTCAGATTGGATTGCACGATTAAAAGTAAATTTAACTCATAAATTTACTAAATTAAATTTGTTTAATGATACTATTTCTTATGTTATTTTATTAATAGTAAGTTAAGTCAATAGTTTAAATAACTTAATAATAATCTTTGTTTGTTAAAAAGATTAAATATTGAATTTGATTTATAGAGTAAAGTAAAATAAAAAATGAAAAAAGATTATTTCTTATTGTGTAATTAAAATGAAAAAAAAAATTTAGTAAGTTTAATATCTAAATTATATTTTTAATGTGTAATATGATCTATAAAATATTTTTTCATTTTTAATATAAATACAAAATGTCAAAACC